ATGCATACATTCCTGTGTAACCCCCACCTTGTTAAAACATAGAAGATTTCTGTCACTCTAGAAAGTTCTGTCCTGCCTCTCCCTCAGAAGCAACTGCTAACCTGTTGTCAGTCACCATAGATGTGCTTTCTTTGAATGTGTTCATCTGTTTGTTTCTGGGGTCTCAGCATTGTTTTTGAGAGTCAACCATGGTGTTGTGGGGTTCGGTGGTTCAGTCCTTTTTATTGCTGAGTAGTATCCATTGTGTGAGTGCATCTCAATTTGTTTATTGATTCTCTTGTTGATAGACACCTGGGCTATTTCTAGTTTGGGGCTATTTTGAATACAGGTCTGATGAGTCTTTATGTGGACATAGTTTTTCATTTTACTTAGATGGATTCCTAAGAGTGGAATTGCTGGGTAATGTGGTAAATATGTATTTAAATTTAATAAAAAAAAAAACCCACCAACCCTGCAGCCTGTTTCCCACCAGCAGCATCTATGTGTTCTGATCATTCCGCATCCTCTCACCAACATTTGGTGTTGTCAGGTTTTTTTTTTTTTTAAGTTATTCCTGTTTGTATGTGGTGGTATCTCATTGTGATTTTAATTTATATTTTCTTCATGACTAACAATGTTGAACCCTTTTCATGTGCTTATTGACATACCTTTTGTAAACTGAGTGTTCAAGTCTCTTAACCCACTTAAAAAACTTTGGCTATTTTGGTTTTTTATTATTGAGTTTAGGAATTGTTTATATATTCTGAATATAAGTTCTTTATTGGGTATACACTTTGTAAGTATTTCCTTCTAGTCTTTTGCTTGTCTGTTTCTTAATGGTGTCTCTTGATATGCAAAAGTTTTAATTTTTAATTTTTGTTGAAGTCTAATGTATCCATTTTTAAATGACTGGTGCTTTTTGAGTCCTGAAAACTCTTGCCTACCTCCTAGCTGCAAAGATCTTCTCTTACATTTTCTTCTAGAACCCTTATAATTTTGACTTTCATATTTTATATCTGTGATTCATCTAAAATTAACTTTTGAATATTATGTGAGGTAGTGATCAGGGATCTTTTTTTCATCATATGGATGATCAGTTTTTCCATTCTCTTTTGTTGAAAATAATTTCTTTTTTCTGAAGAATTCCCTTGTTGAAAATCATTTGACCTTAAAGGGGATGGTCCATTTCTAGACTCTAGAATTGGAAATATCTGCATGAACTCATTATTTTTCTCTGTCTAAAAGA